TGTGGCTCGCATCAGGTTTCAGCTGTCGTCCCACCTGCTTGGCGAATCATAAATCTAGACATTGGCTTTTATCGACCACTGCCCTGTGGTCTTCTTCTTATCACCGCACATAAATTATGTGATGCGCCTGAACGTTTTATCGCAGTTTAAAGAGCCACCTCCAATGTTTATGACAATATTTTGGCACTCACAATATCTGACATTTATTGGCAACTGTCCCACAGAGCAACAACAACAACATCTACACTATACATGTGTGTGTTGTGTGTGTATTTATATAAGTTTTATGAGCTCGCAAAGAGAAGCGACTTTTTATGACTCTGTTGACGCCTGCAAAGGCCGCAAGTGCTCTGAGCAAAGCCAGCGCCAGTTAATGTAAGTGACAAGCCCCAAATGCTCGGCATTCACTTCTCACATTACACTAAATCTGAGCCAGCATCAAATGCAGGTCAAAGCAATGTTTGAAATGTAGAAAGTTGGTCTTGTATATATAAAACTTATATATATAAAACTCTCTAGTATATGGCTATAACTAAAATTATTGCTGAGCGGCCATGCTCTGGCTCAGTTCACTTTGAGCCAATTTTGTTCTCTTGTCGAGTGCCTTAAGCTGCATTCAGTGAGAAGTTTTAATCACTTCCTTGATAAAAAATGACACCCACCGAAAAATCCTTTGTCTTTTTATTTGATGCTGGAGCCAGAGCCTTTTGTGTTCGCTGAAAGAGACAAAGCATAAAACCCCCAAAAAAAAAAAAGAAAAAGAAAGTACAATGAATGCTGGCAAGCCCATGTCGCTCGAGTCCCTTAAGCCCACAAAGTGCTGCTCTTAGCAGTCGTTTAAAGCAAATAAATTGAGTTGTAAGCCAGCCTTTGTAGCCACGCGTTCACGTGGCTTTGAGTGTCAGCAATCATATTGAAATATGACCAGCTCTGACGACTGATAAAGGTAGGTGTTACTGACAATGAAATTTGCTTTTGTTTTTGCACAGAGAACTCGGCACGGCACGATGGTCACTATCGCTACGGCCGTATTCGCTCCAAGCAAATGGCATGCGTTTCATCAAGTAAGCCACAAAAAAGAAGAGGAAGAAAAAGACAAAAAGAGGCAAAGTTGAAAATGTGTTTGGAGTGTGCGTGTGCGTGGGAATTGAAACTCGGCAAAGGAAGCAATAGACAGCGCTTTATCCTGCCATTGTCCTGTCCATTTGTTGGCTCTGTTATTTTTAGCCATATTGGTTGCAATTGCAGTGGCAGCAAGTGACCCAGTTAAGCAACCAATAGAGGCAGGAGTGGCAAGTCGCTGGAGCTCTCGAGTTGTGAACTGTCGAGTGTTGCACGTTTGCTGCCTGATTTGTAGTAACTTTCAAATTGGATAATTACTAAATACTTGCTTATTTTATTGTAATGGCCAAGACGATAAATGTAATAGCCGTCATTAGAGGCAGCAGCTTCCGTGCTACGTATGAGACAGCTGAAAACGAGTTGGGGGCAAGCTGCAGCAGCACTGCCAGCACCAGTAACAGACCCAGGCACAGCCTTAGCCATGTCTTGTATTGCTTTGCATGCTGCCACTCATTAATGCTGTGCCCCCGGGGCGCAGCGACCAAATTGCAGTTACGTGTGGAGCGCATCGTCAGGGCCCGGTCCTGGTCCTTGGCTCCAGCCTGGCACCCAACGTGGCCAGCTCGTACACTTTAATAGCTTCGATTGCAATCTGTAAAATTGAATTGAAATCAATTGGCAGTGCTTGTAGCGACATCGACATGGAGCACCGTGTATCGGTGCCGGTACACCGACCCCGGCCTCTACCGGAGCACTGCCTGATTGATAAACTGACAGCGGGGCCATTGACATATTTGCTATAAACAATTTGACATGGGCCCCGCTCAGTAATTGTCACTCAACTGCGACGTCGCTGGGCCTAGCAAACCGTAGTGCCTCTAAAACATATAAATTTTTCAACATTGATTGATGGCACACCTTAGATATTTGCCTGTCCAACCTAAGCACTGCTATATGACAGTATATTTATATGTTTATGAGCTGCCAGTTAGATGGACGTGCACCGGAAATTAGCTTTATTAAGTTGAAAGGCTGACGCTGCAAAGTTCGTCCGAGTGCTTGCCAAAAATTGTGGCTTATTGAAAAAGTTGCATTCTCTTGGCCGGGCAGACAAGTGTAAGACAAACTTTGTCTCAAAGGCAGACAGCTTTGGGGCCGAGTCATGTGCACGATTTTCGTTGAAGTTCAGCACTTGACTTCAACTTTGGAGACAAGTGCCACGCCTCAAAGCGGCAGAGTCACTCGGGGCAAATGGCTGGTGCTTTAAACTAAATTCGAGCTCGCTTTCATTAGACAGTCGGCCAACGGGTCGCATGATTAATATTAAAGCTTTCCGCTGACTGCGTGGCGCTGTTCCATTTCCACTCTGCGGGCGTTTCTTCTTAACTCTCATTAATGGCACGGCTTAATGAGTCAGAGCTGTTCCAGTTTCGCTCGCAAATCAAATTATTTTACACACAATTCTCAACTGCTTCATTACACAGCGCAATTCAAACTTTGCATACTCAACACATATGATTGCGTGAATGTAGGTGTATGTGTGCGTGTGTGTGGGTGTGTGTGTGCTAGCCGCCCACTTGATTTGCCCACTCGACTTACTCTTGAATTGAAATGCAGATTGTGCATGCGAGCTGAGATATGCCTGCGCGCCACTTATTTTGCTAGATTTGCTGCAAATGTATGTGCCACACACACGTGCCGGCCGAGGTGTGCAGGCAGAGATAGTCTTGACCAATAGCCTCACACCCAGCACCCAGCGCCCAGCACACTCTACAGTCGAGCGCTCTTATCGCTTGTTGTGCTTTGATTTAAAAGAAAATCAAATCAAATGTATGTATGGACCTAGTGATACCTATTTTGGCTTCAGCTCGCCTCGCCTCGCCTCGCCACGCCTCGATTTCGCAGAACTCCTACGTGATGCCTGACAACTGTTGCCATTAACAGCTGGCCGGGAGCAGCCACAACAACGATCCACAATTTGCCACTTGCTCGTGGTGCTTAATGCGTCTCCATGGTGTCATTGTGCGTGAGCTTCGTGCCTCGCTCCTCCTCTTGCTCTCGCTGCTGCCGTGTTGTTATTGTTTGTGGCTGACAAAGTTTTAGCCATAAATTCAGGAGCGCAAGCAACGCGGAAACTCGGATGTGATTTGGTTTTGTTCTCTTGAAATTATTTAAGTGCCACTTTGGATTTTTTGGCTCCTGTGATTTACACATCCTCGTGCTTTTTTTTTCAGTATTATCTTTAAAATAAATGTAAATATATAATATAATAATAGTCAAAACATTTTTAACTTATTAAAATAAAATATTACAGATTTAAGTCTAAATTAGATACATATTCCATTTGATATACTAATTTATATATATTATATATTTATGGCAAATTTTCTTCAAGTCTTGCTTCCATAAGATCTTTGTTTTATTGATAAAAATATCTTATCAAAAATATAATTCCCTGATTAGCTAATCAAATCAACTTATTCCATCTCAGCTTAAAGATTACAATATATTCCTCTATGTGCCACTAATCGCAAATATTTGCAACTAAAAACTGACAATGGCTGCCTTTAGATAAATAGAGCTCAAAAGTGCACGTTCATAGACAAAAATTTTCCACAATTTGAATTATTTTTTGTATTTTCACGCAAATGCAAACAAACAATACTCTCGGCAGACTAATTATTTTAGCTGCTCCAATCCCAGTCCCAGTTCCATTCCCAGTCCCAGACGCAAACTGAAACTCAAACCAAAGCAAAGTCGAGTCAGAGTCGGAGTCGGAGAAACTAATCAAAATATTTTCGCAACTTTCCATTATGAAGTGAAAAGTTGAAGACGCGACGCAGACGCAAACGCACACGCAGACGTCTACGTTTGCATTTGCATGAACAATGAAAAGCAAATATTTTGCCGCTATTGACATTCATCTACATAAGGAGCAGAGGGCGAAGACCGAAGACCGAGCACCGAATACCGAGTGCTGCTGTCTGCCTTGATGTCCGCAAAGACTCGAGAAACATTCAATTAAGACAAATTATGAGCACCAGCTCGCATTTCAATAGCCTTCACTGAGGCATCAAGTGGCCTGACAATTTTTACGCTTACGTCCAGCAGATGCAATCGAGTGGCGGGTCCGGTGCGGGTCTCTGCGGTCCTTGAGCACAGCTTGCTCAGCGGAAATCATTGCAAGGTTGGCACAATTTCAAGATAAGCACAAGACGAAAAAATATATATATATATGTATATACAAAAGTTTGAATTGAAGTCGTCGCGTTTACCGTTTCTTAAGAATTTTAGAGCTGCGCGATGTTTTCGCTACATGACTGCTGTTCGCCTGTTCGCCTGTCTGGATGTCTGTCTGTCTGCCTCTGCCGCTCTTCCTGCTGATTTATGAATTTAATTAAAAGCAGCAGCACGACAAAAATGTTTGGAAGCGCTCAGGCTTCGCTACAAAGGTCGCTCTTTGTGAATTATTTTCGTTAGAAGTGCGTTTAAAATGTGTTTATGATGAACATTTCAAGACGCACAACGGTAGGGAACGGTAGGGAAGAGTCTCCAACGCAAGTAAGATAAGTCGGCTCCATTCGCCATAATGCACTTCAGTTTGAGTTATGCGGCCACGTGTTTGTATTTAATTAGCATTTGGCATTGCCATATTATCCAGCCAGCTACAGGCAATACGCTTTGTTATTTGGCCATATTAAAAATGCGCTTGAAGCAATTATTTTCGCTGTGCTATGCCATTGTGCAACATGAGGCCAACGGAGAGAACCTTGGCCGGAACAACAACAAACTTGCCAGGGATACGGCTGCAGCTTCAATGCTAACCGCAAGTATCTTATTTTGGAGCGTCTTTTCAGCTTCTGCTGCTGCTGCTACAGCCCACATAATCAAGACAAAGCTAAGAGCTACACGATGAGACCTACCGCCCCCTGCATAGATGCTCCTTACGCTAGTCTCTTTGGCTTTGGCTTTGGCTTTGTCTGGGCGCTTCTGGCGTGCCATGTTTATCTTTTAACTAATTTTTTCCATGTTGCCTGCTCTCGCATAGCAGTTAACTTGTTGTTGTGTCTGTGTGCCTGTGTGTGTGTGTGTGTGTGTGTGTGTGTGTGTTGTGCTGTTGATGTTTAATTTCTTTAGTGGAAGTAATGGCCAAGTCGCCAAGTTGCATGCTGCAAAAGTTTTGCTTGCAACTTGCTGCGGCGGACCCCAAAAATATTCTCAAGTGCTGCTGCATTTACTTTATAAAATACGACTGGCCACCAGCTACCGAATCATTCACAAAGGCCAGCCACAACAATCAAAGCAACTAACTCAATTTTAAGTGTGTAACGTGCCTGGACTACCAATGGGAAAATGACTCGTTTAATTTATGCAATCTCAAGAATTCTCTCTTTGTGATTGCTTAAAATAATATGAATAATAAATAATATTAAATTCAATAGTAATTTATAAAAGTGAAAAGCGCCATCTATGGAGCATAGTTGATGCGCCGCCCTCTGCGCTTCTCATCAAGAGCCGCACACCAGCTGTGAATGATTTGCACTTAAGCGTATCCGTGCGGTTGCCGTGGTGCACTTGGTGCGATAACCACGGCAGGTTGATGTTGTACCTGATTATCATCTGGCATTGGCAGCGGCGTCTGTGGCTGGGCTAGCCGCAACTGTGGACTCAATGACAGCATTGGCGGCATTGGCGGCGCCGACTCTTGGCGCTGGCCTTGCGCTGCTGCATTTAGTGTATCGATATCGTGTCTAATTAAAGCGCAGCTTAGTTAAGCGGCTGGAAAATATGCTCAAAGGTTGCCCCACGTTAAGCTCCACTGCTCAAACAACTGTATATAAGTGGGTTAATGTGGTTCGCGCTGAATACTGTGGCCAAGCACAGAGACTGAAACTCATCATTTTATACATATCGTACACAGTGGTCTAGCCGCGAGTCATAAATAACGGATGAGCACAGCTTACGAGATATTGCGCAGCACTACATAAGCCACTCTAGCCAAATGGAAGTTTAGATAATGTCACAGCGGCTTTTGGAGCTGCCCGATAAGATCAGTTGGTGGAAAGCTTTGACATCGCGTCGTGCCCAAATGGGGCACGCCCCCGCCATATATCTATGACAAATGTAGCAGTGGTCGTCGAATCGGGCCCAGCGATAAGCAGATACTAATTAATAACTGCTGGCCCAGCGATTGGCGCTGCTGTCACATGGCTACCTCGGCGGGCATTTGCCAAATTAAATGGCCAGTCAAATAGATGGGACTCCGGCCGGCGGCCGCAGGCCGCACACCACAAGCACTGGCAGCAGGCGCAACCAGTTGCACTCACAAGTTGTTTTCATTAATTATGAGTAAGAGGTGCGGTGCAGTTGCAGCTTCATTGGAAAAACGTGCAAAACGTTTTGGCTCTAGGCGGCTAAGCCAAGTGAATGATTCGTATCTCTGGCAACATGAGGCGCCACTAAACAGGCCAAGTTGTTGATTTTGCTAGCCTACTGCTGCTGTGGCTATGTCTATGGCTGTGGCTGCTGCTGTGGCTGTTGCATGCACCTAATCGACAGGCGCCATCATCAACATCAGCATCATGATGATGATCATGATCATGATCATGGGTCAAGGCAAGCCGAACGTACACAGAGAGTCGACGGCAAGGTGCTTGCCATTAACGCATTGCGTTCCACGTTCGACATTCTATTAAATTAGCTGCAAAGACCTCGCCTTATTAGTACCGTAATATCGTATGCACGCCCACTTGGCTAAGGCGGCTGTGGCTGCTGCTGCTGCTGCTGCCGGTGCTGCTACTGTGCGGCCAAGTTTTGTTTGCAATTTGTTAAAAGGTTGTGGCATGCAGCATGTAAATACCTAAGCTAATCAGAGGGGGAGCCGAGGCAGGAGCCGGGGCAGGCTGGCACGACACAACGTGGCTTCCTCGCTGGCTCATTAGGCAGGCAGCTTGGCCGGATTCGGCATTGCTTGGCAACTCAATCTGTTTGGAGATGCATTAAATTTGCAAATGGATTTGGCCAAATTATCCCTTTTGGCCAGTTATTTAAGGCATCCATTAGTCATAAGCGGGCTGCTATTGATTGCATGCGGGGCTGGGCTGCGGCTGGCTTGGGCTGGCTTGAGCTCATTCGCACGCCTCGTCCAAATGGACGTCGGTTGTACTTGACTTCTGAACCAGCGCCCACAGAGCGTGACTGGACTGGTACCAAACCCAGCGCCACGCTCAAAATTGGCTAACCAAAAACTAACAACAATAAGCATTGTGGTTGTTGTTGTTGTTGTTGGTGCTGGTGCTAGTGGTGGCGGTGGCGTTGCTTGTTCTGGTTACTTGTGCTTGTTTAGATAGGCAATCTCTCGAACGCCACTTGAAATAGAATTTTCCCACCATCTAAAAATAAAACTCAACATGCCATTGTCAACACACTCCACTCGACTAGGGCAACACTCTGCAGACTGTTCTATCTCCGATTCCGATTGCAGTAAGCTCGTATAAACACAAGACATACATAATTCCCTGAGCAGGGCATAAGCTGAAAACTAATAACATTTTCACATCCCAATATACCCTGTACTTTTCATTGTGGTGGTATTTAAGAATGCATTGCACTCAGCTCTCAGTTTGCCGTTTTCTTTGTCTTCACTTATCTGCCTACATATATTTCTACTTATATTTCTTATTTATACAATAATTTTTGCTGCTAGTCGGCAAATTTTTTATTTCATGCTTGGAAAGCTGGGGACATGTGGGAGAACGGGCCGAGCACTTAACTGCAAATTATACAGCAGTCCGGGGAGGGGCTGACCCAACTATAATAATAAATGAAAATGTCTGTAATTCTCATGTGCGGCCGGCAGAAAAAAAAATAAGAAAACAAAACAAAACAAAGTATTGCCAGCAGAAGAAGACGAAAAACAAAACCAAACTTGAGCTCTTGCTTATTATGCAGCCCATTTGTTAAGGAGACAGGAGCGGGCGAGCGGGCGAGCGGGCAGCAGGGCAGCAGGAGGCGGGCAGCAAGTGGTTCTCACAGCTGCGGGAATCGGAAGCTAAGCCAAGCAAATAGACGGCGTGTAAACGAACTCTGTTCTACTTGAGAAGCGGGCGGGTGAGCTGAGCTCAGCTGAGCTGAGTTGGCTGAAGTGCGGGGATTACACATTGAAGAGCTCCAAGTGCAGCATGTTGACCCATTATTGGTCGAGCCAGCCATCAATAAAAAATCTGCTGTTGAGCGTCGAGTTCATATTTGGGCTCTAATAATTAACGGGTGCTGCTCGATAAATACACAACAAACAGCTGTTGGCAGTTGTTGGAGGTATCTATCATGTGATATTGCGGGGCTTAGCTAGGTGACATGGGAACATCCGCTGCACAAATGAGGGGTGATTTACCTGGCCTCCAAACGTGCTGCACCACACGCATTGCCATCGAACGGCCCTCGCCATGGCACTGCGGCTGTGGGGTTCAATAAACTTGCTCGGCCGCAAAACTTTTGTGCAGCAGACGCAAAAACTGTGCTGAAATACATAAAGTGGACTTGGAGCCATCAAAAGGCAACGAGCAGAGCGAGCCAGGCAACCAGGCTGTTAGCCAGTTAGCCAGGCCAGGCCAGATGAGGTGGAGTAGAGGAGCCAGTCGCTGTGGGCCTGCGATACACTTCATTTTGACAGATTACATCTCATTATGTACACCTCGCGGTCAGATGCAGTGCAGCGCAGTGGCCAGCAGCCAAACGAGTTGTCTGCCGCTTACAGTTTGGCAGTCACTGCAACCGTTGCAAGATTGATGGCCAGATATTGGCTTTGCATAGCAAATTTTTTGCACTCAGCTCTCGAGCCACGACGATGACGTCCAAGACTGAGACTGCATTGACTTATGAGCACTTCAAATTAATTCACAGCAGCACTAAAATAACCAAGAAACGGAATATTCGAACCCAAAGATGCGCTGCACCCAACGGAATAATTGAATACGCACCTCAGACTACGGCAGCATTGTCAACTTATGTGAACAGAGAGAGAGAGAGAGAGAGAGAGAGCGAGAATTTGTGGCTTATTAAATAATAAATATAAAAGATTTCACATGCATGATCTAATCTTATCCCACACGCTCTGTACAGGGTATTGAACGAAATTGCGACTGGCTGCGGCTGATGCGCAATAAAATGCGCAACTTTTTCATTGTTTATGGCAAGTTGAATTGAAGTTCATTTATAAGGCAATTTAAAAACAATTTACGTGTTGCATGTGCCGTTAATTTATCAAGTAGTCGAGTCGCTAGTTTAAAACAATTTCCAGCCAATAGCCAGCGCAGTGGGAGCAGTGGGAGGAGCTGCCAACTGTTTTTCAACACACTCATCATAGGCAATTAATTAAAAATTGAAAAGCAGCCGTCGAGCAGCAGTCAGACAGTGGAGCTGTGGCATCCACCAAAGCGACTCCAAGTGCCGTGCGCCAGCGTTTTGGGGGGCTGGCTGGCATTATGATTTTTTCATTGATACAAATAGAGTGGCAATACGCGAGGGGAGCGAGAGGAAGGTGCAGACCCCACTCTGTGTGCGTCTGTGCAACTTGTTGCCGCAGCCTGTTTCGAGTGGCATTATTTTTATTGCCTTCGCCTGGCTAATAAGCACAAATTTATCAGCTCTGTACGTGCGTGGGGCTCAAGACCGAGGTGTTGAGCGTCTGGCAGCCTGTTAACGATGGTGCCCCCAGCTCCCCAAACCCCCCATTCGACAGCAAGTCAATGGCACAAATTAGTGTTTAATACAAAATCCATAAATACAAATACTAAATAACTATATAACACATACATAAACTAGACTACTTAGAGGCTCGAGACATAACTGTTGCAATAGCAATACAGTTTGCGGCATCATCACAGCACAGTGCGGATTTGAACTTTGAGCATTGCATTCCTACCGGACTACGGCCAGCTGGTCACAGGCAATAGACCAGCGTCCAGAAGAAGGCATTAAATACGAGGAATGCCAGGGGAAAGACAAAGCGCATTTTGTGGTCGATCCACAGCGACACCTCCTTGGGCGTCATTGTGGCAAATGTTTGCGCCGGCTTCTCCTTCGGCGTCTCGGAGAGCGTAGCTGTCGAGCTGGTACTTAAGCTTGCGTCATTGTCCTCCATGCTTATGGTTGAGTTCTCCCGGCTGAGGCCGTTGCCTATGATGATGGGCGTCTCGATGGTGATGACTGTGTTCTTCTGGTTGCCGCTGGAGACTTTGCTGCAGCTGCTCAGCGAGCTGCTGCTGCGATTGAAGCTGCGCGGATTGCGCTTCGTCTTGGGCACGAATGTGGAGCGCACAATGTATTTGGTGGTGCGCTTCTTGACCTCCAGATTGTTGTTGCGTCGGAAGATGGTGTTCACGAAGGCGAACTCCATGAGGCTGCCGAAGATGAAGACGGTGCAGACCAGGAACCACACCTCCGACATGGTCACATAGCTGACCTTCGACAAGCTGTTCTCCTGCGACAGTGAGAGCGTGATGAACGACAGGAGCGTCGAGCATCCGAGCATGGATCGGGCCGGAGTTTGGTCGGCCTGCAGCCAAAAGGACACCCAGGAGATGGCCACGATCAGCATGGAGGGCACAAAGTAGTCTATCACATAGTAGCCCACCTCGCGGTGAAGCATCACTGTGAAGCTGAGCGCACTGTAGTTGCCCTCCAGAGCGCCGTGTGTCATGGAACTGGAGTCGGAGATGCTGATGGACTCGTTGCATAGCCAGCCATAGAGATCATATTCGGTCAGCTGCAGCTGGGAGTGAAAGCTGACTGGATTCGTGGGCTCCCAGTGCAGCTGCATGATCGAAGTGTTGTACATCCAGCTCTCCAGTATCGTGGTGCACTTCTGTTCGTCAAACGGAAACTTCTGGAAGTTCATCCAGCAGTAGAGGTTGGCCTGAATGCGCGTCGAGATGAGCACGGTGCCGTTCGGATAAATGGTGGTCAGCTGATCCTTTTCACTGGTGCCCAGCACATTGGAGCTTTGCTCGTTCGCCAAGAAGATGTGGGGCACCCACAGCATGCTGCGCAGCGAGCCGTCGCCCACAATGGGTGCGCGGGTCGGTGCGTAGCTGCCGAAGGCCAAGCGAGTGTCGTTGTAGCGCAGCTGCAGCAGTCCTTGCAGCATAAACTGCAGGTCGTTCGAGTCCAGATCCTTGAGCGCGTAGATATAGAAGCGAGCATTCACGCCAATCGGCTGGATGTCGCCCGTCGCATTCACTGTTATGGGCGGCTGCAGGCGATCATAGCGGCAGAGGTCGGTGAGTCGTCTAATGAGCTCCGTTTGGCTCAAGGAATCGCCGTCCAGCAGGGATGGGCAGGATTTCGTCGTTGACTCGGACAAGTTGAGCGAGACCTGAAAGTAGGGGCTAGAATTCGTAGCGCTATATGAGCCATTGCCAGCTGGAAAGTAGTAGGAAAAATATTTTTAAGTTATTAAAATTATTTTAAATTATTATAGTTGAAGCAAATTGAACTTAATTTAATAAGGGAATTTTAACTATTTAAATATTTGTATTATTTTGCGGCATAGTTTAAATTGCGTGCTAGTAAAGGTTTTTCATAACAAATCTACTTTAACCTTTGATTTACAGTATTATTGCATTGGCTTAACACTGATTTTACTTTTTGCCAGTTGGGCTTATTGATAAGGCGAGGGGAACACATGCAATATTTCTTTAAAATTTATTGCGAAAATAAATGTAACTGTAAATTTAAAACGCAAATCAAAGTTGTTCATTTGTAGCTTTTAATAGTAGAATAATATAAGTTGTTTGTAACAGACGTGTGCGATAAGGAATGTAGTTCTTTCAGATTTATATTTTAAAGGATATATTTTGTAGTTAAGTTTTAATATAATTAAAGTACGATTTTTTACAGTTTTCGAAAATTAAAATGTATTTTTAAATTCCATTAGATTTACTTTCAAATATTATATAACAAGTTAAGAAATAGTCCTTTAAGATTCGATTTTAGATTTTGATTTTTCGTTGTTTGTATATTTTATTCAAAGTCATAAACACATTTTTTATAATTCTTTATACTGAGTTCCAAGTCTTTAAAAAAGTCCTTTAATGCTTTAATCTTTTGGTTTGCTTTAATATATATTTTCCGGTCTTTGCATTGCGCAACAAATGAACAATGGAAACTAACCCAACTGCAACTGTTTTTCACTTGTTTCCACATTGAGGCTTGCGGCAGTCACAAATCCTATGAAAGCTAATCCCCATAGAGACGAAAGGATATCCATTTTTAGTATGAATTTGATTTGCGATTTTCCGGACGGGTTTCGTTACGTTTCGTTTACGGCGTGGCGCCTGGCCTTCGCACCGGACAACTACTGTTTGGCGACAAGTTCGCGGACGCACGCCGAACGCTTCTGGCTAATAGATATTACTAAGTTATTATATTAATAGTGAGTCGCTTTTAATACTTGTACAGGCTATTTCGCCAGCTGTTATCTGGGCTGGCACATAAATCGCCACTGTCGGCAGGCTCTTAGTTGGGGCTTTTCTGGCACTCACTTCGGCAATGGGGCTAATTGCTGTTATCTGCGCCAGAGCTGAATGCGAATTGTTTGCCCATGTCTGAATTTTGATTAAGTGGCCAACGCCGCTGTCAGCTTGTGTCAGCATTTAAACTTTCTGCCTTTATTTATAAGCAACAGATATTTATGTCGCATAGTCGCATATTTATTTATTTCATTCTTGTCGACTCTCTAAAACGTTCAAGTAATTGTTCACCATATAATTGATGATGAGCTCTCATGTTAGCCCTAATTGAGCTGCGGGTTATTTTTGGCAAGCAATTTTTGCGATTATTGAGCTATTCGATTGCGAGTAAATAACTAAATTTAGTCATACCGATTACTAATACTTGACGGAAATGTATTTCTTGGAAGCAGACCGAGTTGAGTAAGAATGTAATTAAAAGTAGATAGATTAACTATGACAATATTAAAAGTTTTTGATATTTGCATTTTAATAACGATAGTAATAATCATGATAAGATTGACAATAATAGTATATATGAATAATACACAACTTGGATAGTTACATTTGTCAATGTCACCCAATGCCTGTATTCTCGAAACGTCTTTCATTTGGACTGAGAGATATACAGTTTGAAAGCAGTTCGACACGTGCCGGGGCAGCTGCATTCGGTTGCTCAGTTGGAATGGAAACACTTGCTGGCGCTTATCACTCTGTGTGGCTGTGGGTTAGGCTCTTGCTATTTGCAGCCATAACACACACACACACATCACGTTTGCGTATATTTGTCAAACATAAACAATCAGTTTTGAGTCGAGATGCGTCAAACCCGGAGCACTCGCTCACCCGCCATGTGCTGGGCGTGAAAGTGACGCTGATTAGATTAGAGATATTTTTTGCAGTTCTTGTTGCATCCGGTCTCTGGTCTATCTTCGAAGGTAAGTTGACAGGCCCGAAAAAGAATTACAAAAAAACTATTTAAGCACCTTTGACAGGGTAAAAAGCTTTTTAGATTTTTCTGATATTTGGATATTTATTTCTCTTTCTCATTTTTGTGAGGATTCGCGCGAGCGCATTTAATTTAAGCCGTCGGGAACATAAAAGCAACTCGTCTAACTAAGCCGATTTAAAAGCACATTTGAATTCAAATGCCGTAAAATGAAATAAAAACTGAAAACTAAAAACCATCAAAATTCCCACCGATGTCGAGCCAAAATGGCACAAAAACTGTCTGCAAAGTTTGCGCTTGAAGTTTTCAGTTTCAGCATTCAGTTTTTCAGTCGGGCAATGCGAAAAATTATAATCCCTTAAATGGCAATCGGGTAGGCTCAGCCATACCCCATTAGTGTCTAGTTAAGCAAATGTTGTCTGCGCCTGGGATGGGAGTATCATAAACTGTTTTCTAATTATCTTCTATAGCCTGTCTCAATGGTCAATGTGGAGACGATTTCGACTCTGGCTCGGCAATTAAATGAAATTGGCTAGATTCAAACTGACGTGGCTAGATCCATCATGACATCATATGAACTGTCCTCTAATGGGAATGGGCGAAAGACTTTTCCTTCACTTAATACAGTTGGTAGCTTAAACTGTCATGACAGGGTATGCCTGCGACGATTATGTCCTGCATCCCTGCACTGGGATGCGGTGGGTAATGACAGATGGAATAACGGTAGCTGGAAGCCGCACCAATTAAGCCGGGGCAGACTTGCAGCAGACGCAAGTTCAAGGCACAGCAGTCGACAGCTGCCCATAAATCACTCACTCAGCTGGCCAGCTGACCGGCTGGGAGACATCCTTATGCGTCCTTCGGCGCTCCGTTTGCTCCGTTTGCTCCGTCTGCTGCTTGCCTCAGTGTTTGTCATGCATTTGCACTATTTCCCATTCATTTATTACTTCTTATGGCTTTTGCTTTTTCAATGCGTTTTTGATTAAAGACACTTTTCTATATATTTTAATTCTTTTGTTTTGATCAGCTTCTTGTTGTCGTTTGCCAAAGCGGAAGCTGCAATCGCCATTTTCCATTTTCCATTTTCTCCACTTGATATTTTATATTTTTTTGGTTCGTTATTTTCTTTTTTTTTGCTTTCTGTGGCCCTGGCGTGTGCCATTATTGTTTCCTTTGATTTATACTCGGTTTCAAGTGATTTCCGCTAGCATTCAACACTTTATGTTTGCTTTTCGGCTTTGGCCAGCGACATTTTAACCGAAACTCTTAAGTGCGAGCATTTGTCATTTGACTTTTTGCCGGGGTCTTTTTATTGCTGCTGCTGCTGCTGAAGCTGTTGGTGCCGTGGCCTCGGTTACGTTTACGGTTGCGGTTACGGATATTTGTGTTGCTTTTGGCTTTGGCTTTGGCTTTGGCTATGAGTCTGCCTCTGATTTGGGGCGCTTAATCGTTGGCGTCGTCTGCGGTTCGCTCTTTGGTTTTTTCAATGTTTTTTTTTGTTTTCTCTCTTTGCTGTATGCAGATTCGTAAATGCTTTCGCCCATGCAGCTCATAAATTCTTTGCAACTTTTATTTTTGCTTGCCCCCTTGCGGGGCGTGGCGTGGCGTGGAGTTTAGGGTTTCTGCGCGTAATTGAAAACAGCAGGGTGACTACTGTCGCTTACTGGGCAACAGCATCGCTTGAAGCTCACTGAATTTATGGCAGTTCAATGTGCAGCTACATGCCGAAAATACCAAATATAAGCATCGCCTGGTAGCGAGCTATTGATTAAAGCCAACGGATGACTGGATGGCTGGCTCTTTGGCTGGGCTGTTGGCTTACCCAAACCACCGCCTGGGGCTACAGTCAATGCCTTGTAATCTGTCAAAATTAGCAGCCTTCTGCGGCAAACGGAAGTGCGGACAAAAACTCCAAAAACTTAAACAGGTTATTTAATGCTACACTTTGCCTTTTGGCTCAGCCGAAAGGGCTGTGCTTGATATGCTCGAGTTCATTGTCCTCCATGGACTTGCAGGCGTGGCTCTTGACTTTGAATTCACTTGGCTGCAATTTGTAGTTTCAATTCGATGTACTACAGAACACTTTTTGGATACTCTGCCATCATAAATGTGATTTTAATAAACATCATGAGTCATCAGTTTATTATTTGCTTACATCTAGAGCTCTCTAGACAAAAAGATAACTAGATTTGCTAAATATTTAAACTTATTTCTTACAAAGTAATGATAAACATATTTATTAAGATCTTAGGGTAACTCGCAGGCATACAAAACTAACTTGATTTATATGGTTTCACTTGGACTCGCTGCTGACGCTAATGTGAGGCAAATAAAGCAACGACAAATGAATTTGTGCATGGAAAGCGCACAAAGATTGAAGTATTCCTCTGTGTATGTGTATGTGTTTGTGTGTGAATAATATCATGAGCTTCGCACAACATCATATCATAATCATCGGCTTGACAGACGAGTCTGGGTACGGGCACTGGCACTGGCACTGGCACTGGCGCTGTATGAAATTGAAAGTTTTGCCGCTCACCATATTGGACTTTCACATGGCGCAGACAAATTATGCCGTCGAGACGGTGCCGTTGACACTATCTGCGAATTGGATGTCTGTCAGGGGCTGAAGGCTGCTCAGGCGAGTTGTAATTGATCATGGGAGCGCATGAGTTAAATATTTGTGCAAGAGACACATAGAAATCGAAACCGATGTCCATTTAGTGCGGAATATCACATCAAATCTCGCTCTAAGCTGTGCAAATAAACACCGGATGGACGGAAAACAAATGAAACGCAATTCGTAGTATTAAGCGATCAATAATCATTGTAAATACGCCAATGTGACGCCGGGGGCGATAAGCCAGAAATATTAACGCATAAGCAGCAGAGAAACAGTCAAAGGGGCCAGGCCTGCGTCTGAGCCTGAGTCTGAGCCTGTACCCTGGGCCTGCATGTGGCTGTGGATGTGGATGTGGATTTGGACATGGGCCTGGCATCGTATCTGTTGCTTGTGCCTGGCGCGTTGTAGATAAACAATAGAAAACCATAGAGAACGGGTCAGCATTGAGAGCTAAACGCTTGCGGCTGCCTTGCTTTTTGGCTTACCTCAGACTCCGACTCCGACTTTGACTCCAACTACAGCCCCGACTCCAGCTTTGGCTTTGGCTGGGCAACGATAAGCGTGCGCATTGAATGCAAAGAGACCAAAAATCGATCGGCTGGACACTCAATGATGATGATGATGAGCATAGCAAATACAAATTATGGTTGAAAAGCGCAACGTAAATACTGCAATCATTTTAATAGACCAAAAACGGCGGCGCATAAACCATAAACCAAACGCCAGGCTCCCCCTCGATGCGAGTTCTATGAGAAATTGAAGGCGTTCATGCGAAGTCTGCGGCTGGAGAGTCAAAAAGAAAATGAAACAGAAAAGAAAGAATTGTGGTCCGAGCTGGTAGAGCTGGTAGATGCGATGGAAGCTGCGCATTCACAACATTGGCAACGGCACGCGAACAGCGAAAATTGCAGTCGATGATGCGGTTTTATTACACAAGTTTAGCTCGGAAATTAGCGTAGATAAATTTCTAGCTGAAATTCCTTTCCCTCACTGAGTGTGTGTATGTGTGTGCTAGACGATGACCAATGCTCGATAGTGGGCCGGTGGAAACGGCACGCAAAGTTTCCAGACTATTTTAAGCCATTTGGGCATTCCAAGGCGTTTCGGGCCTTTGTGGCGTCTTCTGATCCGCAATCATAGCAAATTATATTGAAAATTCTCTAATTCTGTTTGCAGCTACTCAAATCACTAGGCATCAACTGTGCTTAGGAATTTTCCGATTCGTACAGATCAGCCCCTTTCACGGACTCTTTCCCGCACACCCCCTCAAACAGACAGGGAGACAGACAGCAGCACACTTAAGACAATTAGGGATCTTTGGGCATCATTTACTTAGCAATGCCTAT